AGGGTTATTTAAAAAATATTAAATCACAAGGGATAAAATGTAATTTGCCCCTTTTTTTTTGAGTGAACAACCTGCAGTTCAACAAGGCATGAAAAAAGAAACTTTTTTTCCCTTGAAATTGAATGGACTAAGTACAGTTTATGAACTAGTGTTTTACAGAATTTCTACTTTGCTTATCGTCCTTGTGTTTCGGACCAATGCCTGATGGACTCTATAGAGTAGGATAAGGATTGAGTTTACATGGGGCTCAGAGTTTCCATGTGTGGTTATCTTGTATATCATTTATTTGCAGTTTTCTAAATTAAAGAATGACCATTCTAAACTTTTGATTAGACTGAATTGTAACAAATAAATGACAGATAAATTGATGTAGGATCTCTACAAGTGATGAAATACTAATAGTACGTAAATGCACTAAAACTTAATTCTTTGATGAATAAAAGCTTTAAAAAGGAAATTGATGGATAGATGAATTTAATATTTGATCAAAATAAAAAAAATTGATACAGAATAACTGATTTGGGAAAGGAAGAAAAGAGAGAAGATGAAAACAAATTAAAAAGATGGGCATGATAGGGCCGGTGATATAATCTCCCATAACTCTCTTAAATAGTGTTGACTCCAACTGCCACCTTTCTTCTTTTATTATTGTATAGATATAGATATCTATATGTATACTATATATAACGGGTGATATCTATACAACATATAATGTTTGAGCAATGGCAATTGGTATAAAACACTTTTTGTCATCTTTTAAATTTTTAATTTTACCTTTATAGAAATTAATTTTTACGCCAATCATTTAATCATATTTTGCCAATATAATTACTTATAATCACCCTAAGTATAGTAACCACCAAATTACTATAATACATAATTCAAGATTCAGTATACAGCCCAAAAGTACGAAATACAAAATATATCAAGTGCAGGCATGCTCACTTCTCTCAGGGTGCTAACACCTTTCCCCTGTTAAGGAAAACAAAGATACAGTGAGCTTTCGTCCAATGAGGCTATCAGAAAATCATGCAGTCAAACCAACAAGAACATTTAATTTAAGACTATTTCAAGAAAGAATAAGACAAATACTTGAAGTGCAAGTTAAGAAGTAACAATCCAATTCAAGGATACAACGGCTTCCAAGACCCATGTAGCTCGGACATCTTGCAGGTGGTTGACACTTTGTCAACATTTATCAAACCAATAACTATAGAACACCGTTTTACTCCAATTCCCGTCCACCGTTTCACCCCTATACCGGGCCTGCACGTGACAATAAATAGTGGTGGTAATACTCAATCATACCAATTAGTCGAGAAGATAACACTTCACTCGACAAAATAGTAGAGCCAGGGTTCGTTATCTAATCGATCAGGCCCTTACCGGATCGACTCGAATAACTAACCAATAGGGTTTTGGAATTCCCAACATACAGTTGTGTTGATGGGATAACGGCCCAACCAACCAATCAAAATAATCATAAAATAACAGTTAACAATAAACAGTTGGTGGGACAACAATCCAAACAACTAACAGGACAAGTACAAACAAGAAAGGGATTGAACAAGATAAAGTACATGTTCACCCAAGTCAAATATTAAATAGTTCAATAACAAACAATTTCACAGGACACACGTATGTCAAGCAAGTATGAAGTGCAACATGCATTTAAAACACTCACCGCGTTGAGAAAAGTTAACTTTCCTCGGTGATAGGGTCCGGGGGTTCGCTTTCAAAACCTGTGACTTAATACATTGTTCAAATGTTTTAAAGTAGTTGAGCCCTTAAGTGCAAGCTTTTAGTTAAAAGTATCATGTATCCTTGCTCAAACCACAAGGGAAAACTTTTGATACTAAAGTCAAAAATACAAATTTAAACGGGGAAAAATAAGGTTTCAAATGAGGCAAGAATATAGTAAGATGATATAATAACGTTCAATAAGCGACTCGGGAAGAAAAGCCACTCGTTCTTTAAAACACCCTAGTTTTAAGTGAAAATCCAAGTATAAGTAGTGATCCAAGGGTTAACAAGGCATAGTAATGTAAAAGCCACAAATTCACCATCTTAGTACCAAGTTATAGCTAAAATTCTTCTTCATAAGTCCTATACTAAACCTTTAGCAGCATCGAATAAGGATTTCATGCCACACTCTATTCGAATAATAACTAAGGGCTAGTAGGGAAACTCGGTTTCTAACAATCGACAATCACTATTCAATTTCAAAGGCATAAAACTGTGAGAAAACCTCAATTCCAATCATAAAACCAAGTTCAAATGATTCAACAACTCCAACTTGAAGTTGGAAATGAAAGCAAGTACAACTTTAGAAAAATAGAATTTTCTCTAGTTTTGCGCGATGCTGTTTGAAAAATCATATCTCGAGGTTCGTAAGTCCAAAATTTATAAATTTTATACTGTTGGAATATAGACTCAAAGGGCTACAATTTCCCAGGAACATTAGCGAGATTCTGTCCACAAATCAGGCAAATTCCAGTTTCAAGTTGTTGCTTTATCACGTAAAAAAACCGAGCAGGTGTAAAAATTCAGTCAATTTTGGAAAATCACAGATATTCATAGAAATTGAGAAAAATTCTGAAATTTTCATAGTAGAAATTGCTCTGAATCTAGTTTCAAAGGAAAGAAGCAGAACTTAATTTAAATTTTTCTACAACAAGATATGACAGATTTTCCAAAACTGCTTAGAGTTTCATGCAGAACAAAATTTTCAGCAACACCCGACTCATCCTTCCCACTTTTTTTTTTTTTTTTTTTTTTTTGTCGACACTGGGGTGTCCGGGTCAAGACCCGAAGGCGGCTCGACTAATCCCCAGCGGCCCGGGAGGAGAGGCCCCATCCCCCCGAGCACGGTAACCCTGCACGACTCGAACCCCTGGCAAGCGCTCCTAAGGAGGCGAGCGCTGCCAGATGAGCTGCCAAGGAGGGGCCATCCTTCCCACTTAAGCTCATGATTTTTGGTTCAAATCCAACTTGCAATCAAAATTTAATGTCTACAAAGTTTGTGGAGCAAGATTTCCCCCAAAATTTCTTGAAAAATAAGGGCTAGCAACACTCAAAAATTTTGGCTAGCATGAAGCTTTCAAAACAGAATTTTTCCACCACAATTTGCAACAAACCAACCAAGATTCAAGCTTTCCAAGAAATATACACAAGCCACAACATCAAGTTTTAAAGCACCAAAATCTATTACAACATTCATCATAAAAGTAAAGAATGAATCTCAAGTCCTCTACCTAACTTGCCATGGAAACACAAGAAATTTTTCCTCAAGTCCTCTACCTAAATCAAGTTTTCAAAGAAACCCATAAAAAATTTAATCTTTCTAGCTACAAATCTACTAGGATATAGTCCACAATTGTTTGAAAAACAAAAGAGTGAAGTAGATTAGTCACTTACCTCTTCAAAACTTCAAATCCTAGCAAGATTCACTCAAGATGATGGCAAGACCAACCCCTAGGAGTCTCTTTTTCTCAAGATCTTACAACGGTGCAAGTAGATTGGGCGGAAGGAAAGTTTGGAACTTCAAAATTTTCAAGAAGGAAGAAATTTCTCTCTCTCTCTTCCTCTCTCAAGTTCGGCTAGCCAAGAAGAAGAAATGAAGGTTTTTTGGTTGTTTTTGGAGGTAACATACAAGCCACAAGAAAAGTTTGCAAGGTCAACTTTAAATAGTGCCCAATAGTGTCTCCCGTTTAAGCTTTCTTACTATCCACCCTTAGCTTTTCTAACCTTCTTTTAACTCCCAAAATTTTTCTTAACTTCACTATTGTCTCAACTTATATTCTCCTAGGGTTTTGGCCAAATTCACCAATAAGTCGCAAAATCAACAATTTTTAAGAATTTAATTGCTCAAAAGTTAAAATAAACAAGCAAGAGAAACTCACTTATCAATTAACAAGTAAATCACTAAATGAATGCAAATGTTATAAAATATAATTTAAATAAAAATATAAATAGTTGGGAGGTGAGAAAATAATTATAATTTTTGTTTGGGTCATCACAGTTGGCCCTTGAAACTAATGTGTGTGTGTGTGTATACACATACAATAATAAAGCAGGAGCAGATGGTTTGATATAAACAATCCGTTATCACTTTTTAGAATTCTTTTTTACTCTTTAAATAATTTCTCATCACTAATCCACTTCAACTCGACCACTAACTTCACATAACTAATCTCTACAATAATAAACTGGGAGCAAATGATTTGGTGTAAACAATTTATTGCCACTTTTTAGAATTATTTTTTTTAATCCTTCAAATGACTTCTTACCACTAATCCACTTCAACTCAACCATTAACATCACACAACTAATGAAGTACATGTTTATCACTTAAACATAACCATTTATAGATACTTGCTTGATTTAATTTTCTGTTCAATTTTTATGATTTTTTTGTATTAACATTTTAAATTTCCTACTACTAGATTTGTTGCGAAATAATGAATCTACATTCGTTAATTCAACAGAAGATTTTTTTATCACTTGTACACACATCGAGTGCATGTTGATTACTAGTATATATAATGGTAGAGGGGATTTTTGATGTAAACACATTTTGTCATTTTATATTTTTTTTCTAAACTACTACAAGTCCTTTTAGCAAATAACATGTATTTCTTACTATTCTATATCTCAATATATTTAATAAATCTTTTTTTTAGCAACTACCGGTTATGGTTATGTTTTACCACCAATTAATTATCTGTTTATAGATTTTATTTTTGTGAATTTTTCACATTTTTATTGTCAATTGTAAAACGAATTCTCTCGAAAATAATTTCAATAAATACATTCAAAAAATTTTACAAATATTTTTCCATTAGTTACACACACATTGTTGCGTGCCTTGAACATTAGTATATATAAAGGTTAGGGGGAAAACTAAAAATCAGGATATATATATTAAGGGATAAATTGTAATTAACTCAAGCAAAAGTTAATAATAGTTAAAAGTCATTAGTATATTCTAATCTCTAAACACCTACACCTATGTGATTCATTTCAGATAATCGTGGATTTTTTGAGAAGAATATAGGGTTTGTAGATAGAAAAAAGAAGATGAGGAGTTTCAATTTCGAAGACCACAGATGACGGCAGCTGCTGCTGCTGATTTCTTGGCTCCTCTGCAATATTAGTACTGCTTAAAACAGTTGGGGGGATTTCTTCAACTGATTCAATTCAATTCCCCATCCGTTTTAGCCTCTCTTGGTTCCAGGTTCTCTTTATCTATTTCTGTTGCCTCTTTTGTAAAAGGTTAGAGCTTTATCTGAAATTTCTTGAAAAAAATCCCTTTCTTTCAAATTATGTAATGCTACGTAAAAAGAGAAAATAAATGATGTTGGGTTATAGACAGAAGGCTGTTAAAACCATCCCAGATGATGTTTATGCTACTGACGTTGATAGGATCAGTAATCTTCCAGAGCATCTTCTCTGCCACATTTTATCGTTCATCCCTACCAAAGAAGCTGCAGTTACCTCTGTTCTATCCAGGAGATGGAGATACCTTTTCACTTTGATCCCAGATATTGATCTCCGATTCAATTTTTATGACTCCTCTGGTGAAAACATCGAGTACAAGAAAAATGCTTACTTTCGTCGTTTCTTTAGTTTCATAAGTTTTGGCTACAGAGTGATTCTGTGCAGGAATGTGCGTTCCATTAGAAAATTTAGGCTCTCTATTCAGAGAGTTCACGATTACTGTTTGCCGGGAATTCAGGCATTGCTATCTACTGCATTATTGAGTAAAGTCCAAGAACTTGAAATTCATTTAGAATATAAGTACGATCCTACCAACAGCTTATCCCCTGCGGGAGCAGGAGTGTTCATGTGCAGAACACTAACTTCTGTTAAACTAGGCTGGCCAGATGTGGATTTGATTGTCCCTGATTCTGTTTGTTTACCAAATCTTAAGTTACTGCACTTTGATAGATTGAGATTGGTGGATAAGGATACCATAAAGAGGCTTGTGCAGGGTTGCCCTTTACTTGAAGAACTGAAGTTAGGCTTCACTCGCTTTACATATGGCTTCAGACATATCATAGTTGAAGTTGTTGATATTTCCGGTTCATTGAGAAAACTGATACTTGATTGCTCAAGAGCTGAATATACTGTTGTTGTCAAATCAAATAGTCTCGAAAATTTGGAATATGATGGTGGATGTTTCAGAAATTCTATCATCTGTATAAATGCTCCCAATCTTAAATCTTTGGCCTTTCATGCTGATCCGTATGGGGCAAACTTTATTCAGAGCCCAAAATCTCTTGTTAGTGCCAAAATAAAAATTCCTTGGATTGATGATGAAGCAACATGTCAGCATGTGTTTAAGCTTTTTAATACGGTGCAAAGTGTGAAGTCACTGGAACTAACCAAATATTCCCTAGAGGTATATTTACGTTCTTCTTTTACAATTTGGGATTCATTTAAACTATTCTAAGCATTTTTCTCATTTGAATGAAGGCTTTGGCTGATTTTGGATTGTCGTTGCCAACTTTCAACAATTTAATCAGATTGAAAATTGATGCTATGCCCAGCTGCTACGCTCTATCAAAGTTAAATGAGAGCGTCCCTAGGATTGAAGAACTTGTTCTTCATCAGGTGAGATATCGTAATGATCAACTGTTTTGCCATAGAATTAGAATTTCATGGGATCTTTTGCTTGTAATATTCTTTTTATGGACAGGTGGCCCAAGATGATGATTTTTTTGATTTTGAGTGTCCGTCGTCTGAGGTCCTCCAAATGTGCTTCATAAAACATCTCAAGGTGATACAAATCAACAGATTCTCTGAAGATGAATACGAATTTGAGCTAGTTGAGTGTCTTTTGCAAAGTGGAGAAGCTTTAAAGAAGATGATTATTGGTGGATTTGTAAAGCCTTCAGGTCATGCAAGAATATGGTCGTTCAAGAGATGCTCGCAGGAGTGCCAGATTGTGTTGTAACTTGTAAGAAGCTAGAGATGTGAGGTTTATTGGCCTTGAAGATGCTGATAACTCTGGACACGGAATTTTCTACTCATCACGGTAGCTGATTTTGATATATTTATAGCTTCTTGCATTTCGGAATGGTTGATCTATCTATATTGAAATACTAGTCAATGTTTCTTTTTTGTTTTTTTGGGTTATAAACCACTGATATCTACATCTGTTTTACGATCTACAACTAATCCTGTTCGAGTCAGATCGGACATCTCTTTTATAGCTTCTTACAGGTTTCTTTTTCATTCTGTGTAATGCTTGCTTATTCCTATGAGCTTCTAGGAGGAGTGGTAGGTCAAAGAAATGGTTATAACACCATTGCTGGTTTTGCTCTCGAAAACAGAAAACCTAAGGAGAAAACTAACAATCGAAGTAAAGAGCAGAGAGAATTAGTTTAGCACAGCTGTTGTTATCGTGAAATATTGAAAAAAATTGGCTATTGCCCTGGCTAAAAGGTAAGCCAGCATAAGCTCTTGTTGAATCTATAAAGGATTGCATGCTCTCTCTTAGCTGGAGCAAACATCCTGCAAAAACTTCTACAAGTTCCTTCACTTTTGGGTTATATATAGGTCATATCTGATCCCTTGATGTCTTTTCGTCCTATCTTTTACTTATTTATATTTAGGTATCGTCTTTTGCTACTCCAAGTTTTCTTTAGAAAATCAAAATCTTGTTCTATTTACATTTTTTTCCCTTAATATGACTCCCTTTTTCTTGAGATTGTTCTCTGTAACTAAGTGTTTTTTTTTTTTTTTTTCAGTAGTGCAAGTAAAAGGTCTCAAACCTGAGATCTATCACTTACACTCCCTCTCTCGTATCACCCAATCCAACTCTCCTTCCTTCTATAACTGATGTTGAATGAGAATTAGATTAAAATCTCTTCTAGTCATTAAAGATCACGTATCAAGCTATGGGTGTTTTTCTTTCCTTTGGCTGTTTGAATAGTTTGGACTGGTTGTTGATTGGCATTCTCTTCAAGATTTTTGTTCTCATTTATCTTGTCCATATTCACCCGGAAGTCCTTAGTTTATGTTATCCAATTAAGTAGTTCGGGCTCGAAATACATTTCACACTTTAATTCACAGATTAGCAGAGGGGCTTTTGTTTGCTGGGAAAATCCTTAGTGAACTTAGGCTATGGCTTTACTGTAGATTTTGTTATCGTCCAAATAATCAATTTGACATCATATGACATTCACATGAAGCCCAATTCATGATTTAGTCACTATTTAGCGCTCGATTTTAAAATACAAAATATAGCTTTTTCGGAGACCTCTACAGGCTGACTAACAAAATCTTCATTTTTAAATTCTTTAGAAAAACTTTAACATGTTTTTTAAAGTTATACAAATCCACTTGAAAAATAACAAAAAAATATTCAAAAGTAATAGACAATTTCAAACCACAAAATCTAGTAATTTATTCAAGGGTTGTAAAATAACTCACATAAACATGGTATTTTAAGTATCATCATTATTAGGAATTTTCTTTGTTTTTTTTAAATATCCTCCTACCCTCCCCCAGCCCTACCCATCCAACTGTCAGGCAAATGATTCAAACTTTAAATTTCAAAGTAGAAAAAAACTCTAAGAGCCCTCTCCTAATCACTGGTTATTAGGAATTTCCTTTGTTACTAGTTATACAAACAATTTAAAACTAATCTAAGAGTCAAAAAAAAAAAAACTAAGTGAATTGAAGAGACAAAAGTTATTGATGAATACATAAAGGAGCAATTTTGTCTCTTAGAATATTTGATAGGTTTTCCTATCATTTCATTAAGTAAAAAGGAAGGGTGGAGTGTCTAGAACTTTTTTTTTTTCAGAGTGCAAATGTCATCTGCCTATAATCTTATATCTTTTGTTATTGATTTAAATTATTTATTTCCTTTCTGATAAACTGCTTGAACTGTGAGCTATCATTTTCCCTTTTTGTAAACTACAAGAGGGCTATTGGTGTTTTAGATGCTAGTAAAACTTCTCTTTGTAGCAGCCACTTCTGTAGAACTGTTTTGACTTCTTACAACAAAGAGAATTGGTTGATCTATGTCTATAATACATCCACAAGAAATGTATAAACATGAATAATAAGTATAGAAAAACGAAATGCACAACATTTAAGAAAAATGGTAAAAATTGTCCTTTTACAATTGTTTTTTGAATTTGTTGTTGAAATTTACATACAAAAGATTGAAAGTGCATTTTATTAAAAAAAAAATTATCCCTCTAAGATTCATCACATCTACTAATATTATCAAGTAATTAAGGACCTCTTCCTTTAATCTTTGGAACAATGTCCAGTGTTTAAAACTTAAACCAACTTTAATACTAAGATTGTCAAATTTTATTCAGTAACTAATGACATAAACAACCTTGTTAATGGATTCTTTACAATTAAAAGATCTTTGTAAAAATGACTTGATAGGATATCCCCCGCTCTTCTCCTCCTGTAGCGACTAAAACTGACAATTCTTTTCATAAAAAAAAAAAAATTATACTCCCTCCTATCTCACTTTAATAGTCCTGTTTCTTTTTTCACACAGTTTAATAAAAAATAATTAACTTTGTTAGAACAATCAATTTAGGTAGCTATTTTCCTAAAATACCCTCACATTAATTAGAGTACAACTTTATGGGAACTTGAATTGATGGTAAAAAAAGAATCAACTCTCATTAAATGGGGTAGGTTTATAGTAACAACAACTTACATTGAATAAGGGTATTTTAGGAAAATTAAAATACAATTACATTCTTTAATTGGAAAGTGGACTACAATTTGGGACAGACGAAAAAGGAAAACAAGACTATCAAAATGGGACGGAGGGAGTATATGATACTCATACATTTAATAAATTTGACAAGTGATTTTCTACTTGCTTCCTCGAGTAGAAGAGTTCTTAGTACACGGGTAATAACATTTACTATAGATTTGCTCGTGACTACAATTTTGTATGTAGGATTGATGTTCTAAGTCCTAATTTTAAGAATTATACAGCTAAAACTCAAACTTAACTAAATTCTTTTTCTTTTTTCTTTTTCTAAATAAAAACTATATATTGTTGTGATTATATTGTTTATAAGACCATTTGTTCTTTAAATAATCTCATTCAAATAGTATATCAAAGTTATGTTGGTACATTAATTTGTGTGCCCGGATTTGATAACAACTATTATCATAGTAAAAGCGATAATAAAAAAACTTACAGTACAGTAGCATCTATTTCTCATTTTACACGTTTTGATAATCAAAAATACCAAAAAAAAAAGGAAAAATAAAATATCAAATAACCTCAGCACAAATAATTGAAAAATGAAAACTCCGAAGAGAATAAAAAGGAATAAATCTCATCGATTCGAATTGTGTGATACGTAAAATTTTACTTTGGATTTTATGGCTTTTGTGGAATTTTAGTAAAATTGAGGTCCTATTTGCGCAAAATCCTGCACTTTTGCTCTTTACAAACTCGCTAAATAAAACCCAAAAGGCTAAAACCCCAAATTCGCAGATTATGCTAAGAAGGAAAGAAAGAAAGATTCTGCGGGAAAAAAGAAGCTGAGAATATGCAAAAAAAATGAGGAATTGATGTCGAAGAATGTTTAGCAGAGCAGCTGAATCCAGGGATTCTCTGCAGCTAGCGGACATTAGGGATTTCTTCCCAACGCCCAAAAAGGTTCATCCCAGGTGTTATCTCTGTTGAACTTACTTTTTAAAATTGCATAATCTGATATTAGTTGGAGTTGCATTCGGTTTCTAAGCTACTTTTAAACTCTTCTTGAGGAGGATTCGAAAACCCGATTTGGGTATTTATTTTATTAATTAGTTAATTGGGAGAGATCAAGATCAGGAAAATTTGTGTAAATGGGAGGGATCAAGATCAGTGACCTTCCAGATGATCTGCTCTGCCATATTTTATCTTTTCTTCCCACAACCAAAGGAGCCGCTGTTACCTCTGTTTTGTCAACCCGAATTCGATTTTAATCCTCGCAAGCATGTGAATGAACTCCCTGACAACAGTGATGAGGATGCCCGTGATCGCCTGTTCTCTGATTTCGTAAGTTTTGTCAATAGACTGATTCTGCTAAGGAATGGGAATCGTCCAATAAGAAAATTTGAACTCTTTCTTTTGGCGGTTGAGGAAAGGTTTCGGGTGGCGTTTGACTCTTTAATTAGTGCTGCGCTTTCTTCCAAGCTTCAGGAACTTAAGATTTTTGTGGATTATAATCGGGGTCATTACAGTCCACGCTTATCTCCTGAGGAGGTGAATTTTACGTGCAATACACTAACTTGTTAGAAACTACACTGGGAAGTGAATTTGAGAGTCCCCAAGTCAGTTTCTTTACCAAACCTTAAGGTATTGCACTTGGAACAATTCGCATTGGTCGATGGGATTCCATTCAGAAGCTTATTCGTGGTTGTCCTTTGCTTCAAGAACTAGTGGTGGATTGCATTTTGGACCTTTCCCGTGCTGAGGTTAGAAGTATTTGAATTGAAATTCTTGATATTTGTAATCCTTGTATAGAAACTCTGAAGCTGAGACTTAGTTCCTACTATGTGGATACTACTGTTCTTGTGGAGTCCAACACTCTCAGGAGTTTGGACCATGAATATTTCGGGTGCGTCATTCTCAGTCATCATAAAATCTTTATCAATGCGCCAAATCTCAGACATCTGGCATACAAAGGTGTTGCAAATGGACTAGACATCATTCAAGGCTTGAACTCTCTTGTTAGAGCTAAATTACTCATTTCGTACCATGATCTATTAGTGCCACATGTTGTGAAGGTACTCAATGGAGTGCAAAGTGTGGAATCGCGTTGTTTGTGTGTGTACATTCCGGATGTATGCCTTTTCTATTCTGAACTTTAACTTCTTCCTGACTTTAAAGTTTTTCCTTTGAGTTATAGAGTAATTGGAACTTCATACTTCCACTCACAAATGATGAAAATTTTAATTGCTATTTCTTTCGTTTTGTGTGAAGGCTTTTTATGATTCTGGGTTTTCCTTGCCCACTTTCAAGAATTTGATCAGTTTGGAGTTGGTGGCATTTACCCAAGTTCAGTCCCTAACTGATCATGATATTAAGATAGCCTTTGACTGCATCCATTCCTGGCAAAAAGGTACAAAGCTTAATCGCAAGTGCACCCCAACTGATGAAGCTTGTCTTTGATCAGGTGTGTCATGCTGAAAATGTTTTATCATGAACTAGTATTGCATTCAGTGTTCTGTTCCTTTTTTTAACTGACAGGTGATTGGGGATGATAACATTAAAGAAGAGGAATTTGAGGTGCTATTGCCATAGCTTATTCCAATATGTTCCAATTTACATCTCAAGGAAATAGAAATTTCAGAGTTCAACGGGAAGGAATATGAATTAAAGCTAGTTGAGCATCTTTTACAAAACGGGCAAGCTTTGAAAAAGATGACTCTTGGTGGATTTTTAGAAGTCCCAGTTTGCAAACGAATATTGTCATACAGGAGATCTTCTGAGGATTGCAAGGTTTTGTTACGTGAAGCTAAATCAGTTTGTAGTTCTGATGAGTACTAATAGGAACAAATGATTGTTTTTCTCTTTGTTGGTCAGAGAAGTTATTTTACATGTTATGACTGCTTCGTTTGCTGAACAGTGGATATTTCAAATCTGGTTTTGGCATTCTAACATGCCTCGTAAATACTCAATATCTGTTAAAAACTTCAGGAATTAAAGATATTAAAGCAATTTATGCTGACTTCTATTTGAATCAGGTGCAAGAAAGTAAGCATTTTAATTGAACGCCAAAACTCGTTGTTCCTAGTGGGCTTGGTTTTGTCAAAGTTTGTAGAAGAAAGCTTCTCTAGATATACCTGATGCAGAAACTATGTAGAGCACATTTTTGTGTGGAGCAAGTCATTTTAATTATAGTCTGTATTTAGAGAAAATTTCTAGGAGACGCTGGATTATTTTGGATATTTAGTGATTTATCATGCATTGCAGCTTTTGTTATGATCACTGCTTTTGCCCCTTCTTGGCTTTGCTCATTTGTCTCAAGTTACATCTTTGTCTTCTAACATGTGGAGCTATAAAAAGGAATTAATTGTTCAACCTTCAACTATATCGTTCAGTCAATCCAGGAATTCAGGAGTAAAGATTGGGAATCAATTGATTGTCTTTTGCTTCTTGAATTGATCAGTGATTGTTATTCCCTCTATCTTATTCGCTTGCGCATTTTAAGAACAAGTAATAATTACTATGGCTTGCATCTGACTGCTTTTCTTGTTTGCCACTTTTTTTTTTTGGAAATAATGCCAGTTAAGGATACGAGTTTTTCTTGCCTTTTGATGCATGAACTGATTATTGATTGCTAATCGCCCTTGTCCATTAGATAAAAAAGAAACAAAATTAAAGAAAAACAAAGAGTTATGGTTCTTGAAGCCTGCAACTATGTGCTTTTGTCATGTTGTTGCTCTCAGTCTTCCATTTTGTTTTAATTTTTCTTCCTTTTTCTGAAGGAGTTTGCGAGGAGATTTCTCTCTAATTAATCTTTGCATTGAGGTCCAGTGGTTTTGCTTTTATTAGATTGAGAATTTTCAACTTTTATTTCAAGTTGCACAAGAATTATAGGAATGTTTAAGAGATGCTCTGAGGACTGATTGTATTATAAGAATCTAGGGATGTGATGTGTATTGGTTTCGAAGATGCCGATAACTCTAGAGGAGATCTTCTACTTATCGTGGTAGCTGATTTTTGATGTATTAAAACGTCTTGGATTGAGAAATGGTTGATCTTTCTATAGTGAAATGCCAGTCAAGGTTTCTTTTTCAAATTCTGTTATGCTTTCTGAGTCGCTCATATGTGCTTCTAGTTGGATGGAATTAAACATAATTAGTTGATATAACAACATAGCACCATTGATATTTGCTAGTTGATTCATAATTTAGGTAGTACATTTGTTATTATTGTAAAACATAGAAAAATTGCTTATTGCCTTTAGGTTAAATGTTAAGTCATATGCTCCTGTTGATCTATAAAGGATTGCTTACTCGTATTATAGGCGAAGCATAAACTATGAAAAGCAATGCTGTTGTACCGTGTATTTATCATTTCAACAATTGCCTGAAAACTTCCAGGAGTCCCTTGATCTTATGGTTATAGGTGATATCAGATCCCTTGATGTCTGTGTTCCTACTTGATTGTTGTACTTGTCTTCTTTTACTGTATGTTTTCGATTATAATCCACTTCTGTTCACATCTTTCTTTGAGATGTTTTCTGTTTCAAAGATTGACCTAGAATTAAAATTTGTGAGTAAAAATCATGTATCAAGCTGTGGGTGTTTCTCTTGCCTTTGGCTGCTTGAACAGTTTGGATCGATTTTTTATTATCATTCTTTTCAAGAATTTTGCTCTAACTATTTGAACATGCATGGAACCCTGAAGCGTGCTATGTGAACTTGTTCTGTACTCTTGCTGCGTCCGTGGAAAAGGAAACTTGAATTTTTGGCTTTTGAGATTGGAGAGCACAAAGATTAAGCCTTGTTTGGATTGCATTTTTCTGGATTTTTTTGTAGAAAAATTACTGTAGCGATTTGATATATGTGAGGTAAAAAGGTGATTGGGAAATGTGTTCACGGAAAACGTAGCAATTTTTCTGAAAAACAAGGCCTTAGCTTTAGCTTTTATATCTAGCTTACAATATTTCATGGAATTTGACTCAGAAATTTTGTATCTCTATAAGCTCACAGCTAATTGTTTCTATTTGATTAAGAAAGCTGTAACACCAGTTCTGAACTATGGCAATGAGTTGAAGCACTAAAAGAACTTGACAAAGGCTAGTTTAAACTAACAAAGCATATTGGTAGTGTATTCTTTTTGTTCTTGTCTATGTAGCACTTCCTGGTGAATAAACTTTCAAGCTTTTGGAACCAGCAACATTCCTACTACAGACCACCCTGGTAAATCTTGGTGATGATTGGGTTGTAGATACTCTGAAGCTCCTTCATCTTGTACTCATACTCCTCCATCTCGGTAAGCTGATTCCTTTCCAACCATTCAATGGACTGCTGAATCATATCCTCAAATGCTTTTGTTGTTTGCCGTTTGCAGCTTAGCTCTTCTCATCCCTGACAGCATTTCTCAACATGTAGATATAATCCTCTAACGCAATCTCTGTTGTAACCTTTTTCATGAACTCCTCGTTTTCTTAACTTCTTTGTTTCTTCCACCATCTTCTCAATTTCTTCTTTTGACTGTCTTCCAATTTCATACAGATTTCTTCCTCCATTTTAGTAGGGATGGAGGTGTTCCTAGGGATCACAACATTAATGCGATCTTCAATAAGTTCTACACCAAGAGATAATGGGGGTTACATCCACCAGTACAAGGTCCTTAATCTTCTGGTTGTCCCCGCCACCCAAGATTGCGACTTGAACAGCTGCACCATAGGCAACAGCTTCATCACGGCTGGTCTTCTTGTGAAGCTCCTTGCCATCGAAGAAGTCTTGCAACAATTGCTGAAATATGTGAATCCTGGTTGAACCTGTAGAATCTGAAAACTATTAGAGCGAGGAGATTAACTTTTATCACTCACAAATACATGTGGGGAGGCAATTTACACGCATACAAGCATGTGTGAAAGAAGAGAAATAATATTATTGAGAATAAATTATATTTTACCTTCTTGTGATTTTGCATTTTTCATATAGTTCTTCTGTGACTTTAAAAGCTATACATAATTCTCTCGTGGTTTAGACTAAAGTGTTAAAATAATGAAAATGATTATGTGTAATGGAATCTATGCAAATGTCAAGATTACTCTTATTTAAAAGTTAGAAAGATTGAAGTGGTCAAAATATATAAACTTATTATGTATGATACTTTAACCTTTTATGATTTTGTGTTTTATCACATATTCCCTTTATGATTTTTAAAATATATGCATAATCTCCTATACTTAGTAAATAATTTTCAACTTTATATAGGGATCCTTTTGATGTTTTAATCGACTCTGTTGCGGAATGCACATGTTATTATTTTGACACTTTAGTTCAAATCACGAATAGGGTTATGTATAACTTTTGAAGTCACAAGGGATTCTATGGGAAAAATGGAAATTTACCCTATTATCAATATATCATTGGTCACATAGTAATAACAAGGTTCTCGATCTTTCACTCTTCTTAACTGATAATAATAGTAATAAAATTCATTGTTTATAATTAGATGACGACTTGGTAAACAAGTCTTGACAATCACAAGAAATTATTTAGTAAAATACCAATTCCTAACTTATAAAATTGCCATACTTTATTTCAATAAATTACTAAAAGCTTAATTCGACTAAAATATTGCTGTTTTTAGGCTTAATTTAATAATTTCATACAGGATTAATATGACATTAATTGCCTATGTCAACTTGTATGACGAATTATATTTTACACTCTTCACAATTAAGTTTACAATCAATAAATGATGTTTTACCATTACTAAATGATGTATATGTGCTAGGAAACAATACTGACTGAAATAATTTGGTACTACGGGCAAAAATGAAATATATAACCATTTTTGAGAATCGCCAATCCCTATGTTTTTTGGAACACTTGCCTGCTTGGATTGTGAGTTCTTGAGGAAAAATTTGGAACATTCCCTCCATATATTTCATAATATGTTGTTTACCTCACATACATGATATTGCTATAATATATTTTTTTACAAAAATTCTAAAAGTTGTAATCCAAACGGGCTACTCAAGTCTTACTTTTAATTAAGTAAACTTAGTAACATTCGAACTTAAATGATCAACTAATTCACTTGCCAGAACCACCCAATGACTTGGGAGACAAATTAATTTTTTTGAAATTAGATTTTTCACAAAACGGGTACCCGTAAATAAAAAGTTTATAACTTAAAAACTAACGAAAGTATTTTTAAGTAGTTATGCATCAGGCTTCTTCATTTTGGAAAAAAAAATGGTATTAGCCTTCTTCTAAATATGCTATAGCTTCCATTAGTTTTACATATGCTTTTAAAAAAAAATTAGTGTAAGTGAGAGGTCTCGAATCTCTCACTTACACTTTGTTGGGAGGTATCGGGTTTCAAATAACTCTAACACACAGTGAAAAACCTCCCCAATTCTTTAGCATAGATTAGGAGCTTTAAGCAAGACAAAAATCTAGCACTAATGGAAGATAAATCGCCCGTAGACATAAAAAGAACCAACTACATGAAGACACAAGAATTTTTACGTGGAAAACTTCTCCAATATGAAGAGAAAAAACCATGAGACTCTTGAGCCCACCACAAATTATTCCACTATTACCAATTAAAAGTGGAGTACAACTTTCAGCAAGTTCACAATTGAGATATGACCTTAAACAATCAACAAAGTCACCAAATCCCAAATAAAGAACAAAAGTTGTGAAAAACTTCACTAGAAAATAGCAGCAGTTCGAAATTTATAACTAAAGATTGAGCCGTTGAAATCCGATCTCCACCGTTCAGAACGTAGAACTTGATGTCCTCTACCTTCAGTTAAAATTTCAGGCCAATCAGACGTCGTTTTTCTCTGCAGAATTTTCTGTATTTTTCCCCACTTTTTCTGGGGCTGGAATAAACCTAATTTGGCCTGTAAATAGGTAGGACAACTCCTTAACGGGCCTAGACAATTACCCATTAATTTTGGAATTTTTCACATACCAAAAACTCAATACACTCCCTCTCTCCATACTACCCAATCCAATCCTCTCTCCGCAATTTTACGGTTGCTTATCACAATAGAGTTCTGCAACTATTAGCGAAACATGAAAAGAGACATTTTTCGTCGATGGCATATGAATCTTATGCTTTTATTAACTTATGAGAAAACAAGAGTATCATAAATCAAGCAGTAGTTTAAACGAATTTAAAACTATTTCATTAAAAAAAATAAAAAAATGAAAGATGGGGATTTGAAATCTTGTATAAAAAATATATTTAAGTCAATAATTAATGAAAAAATTAATGGTAAAGAGCCAAAATTATCGAAAAGGTGCTATAGTAATAGTTTGGTAAAAGCAACACCATCCAAATAATAGAATTTTAAGCAAAAAATACGAATTGGAAAAAAAAAGTTGCAAATGAATCAAATTGACTCATGAAGAAGAGCATTGGATTGGGTGGTAAGTTGAGAGAAATCGTAAGTAGAAAGTTCTGGGTTCAAAACATTTCACTTATAAAAAAAATAAATAAAAATTAAAAAGCTGACTCATGAGCGCTCACAAGTCAACTTGGTCAAAATTCAATTCGAACTTGATCCACACTAAGCTCGAGTTGAGTTCGGGCCAACCAAGTCAAGCTATTTGATTTCTTATCGTACCAAAACATTATTATACACTATTATTACTAAAAAATAAATTACAATGTGTAATAAATAATTTATACCCCTACTTTTTTATTGCAAAAATAATTGAAGGCACAATCAATGTCTAAAAGGCATTTCTTTCTACATAGATGTGAGGTGTCTTGAATTTTTTATATCTGAAAAAGAATTACTAAAAATGCAAGTAAAAGAATCACTAAATAGGGGGAAGGATTGGGTTGGATGGTAAAGTGAGAGAGATTGTAAATAGGAGGTTTCGGCTTTAATACCTCTCGTTGATACGAAAATAGAAAAAAAAGAACCACTAAAGAATTTCTTTAGTGACTTGTGGACTAAAAACTGCTAATATCTTTGCATATATCATTTAATTTTTTCCTTATTGTATATCTTATTACATAGCTTAGCATGCTTTTCCTTTTCCTTTTCCTTTTTGTTTTGATGAGGCAAAAGGAAAAAAGGAGTTGGTTTGTTTTGATTGACCATTATTCTAAAAAAATTTTCTTATTATTCAACAAAAATATTTTTCAATTACATTTTTATCTTACATTTATCATGTAACAAAAAGTGTTATAATACTATTCTAACAATTTATTTTTTGAAATAATCTTCAATCCAGTTGAGCTACACGTCAAGATTTTTTAGACATTACCATCTTATTATAGAAAATTAGTAAAATTTGGTGCCCATTTGTGCAAAACCGAGGCCCTTTTGTTCTTTAGAAAAATAGAAACTCCCCAAAGCTCTAGTAAAGCACCATTTTTTGTCCATATCTTTCCCTAAAACCCCAATTTCATTGCTTCGAAAAGTGGAATAGTTGAATTCCACATTGGTCGATTGGAATTCCATTCAGAAGCTTATTCACAGAAATCCTTTTGCTTCAAGAACTAGAGCTCGATTGCACTTGGGAAATTCCCACATTGATGATCTATAGAAGTATTTGAATTTAAAATTCTGGATATTTCTATTCCTTGTGCAGGAAATCTGACTGTGAAACTTATTGGAAATATATTGGCACTAGTGTTGTTGTGGAGTCCAACAATCTCAAAGACTACAGACTATGAATGTTTGGATTTAATTCGTCAGTCATTAATATTTATCTTTATCAATTCCCCCAAATCTCAACCATATATCAGACACAAGAGTGATCCACATATGTTTTTTCTTTTTTTGATATTTCAGAAGTCAATATTATTAATATACTAATTGAAAATCGTCCGACACAATTTGCTTGACAAAGAAAACTATTCTGATGACGGAAAATCACCTCTGTTATTAAGTGGACTTTCTCACACATCGAATGGAGAGAAATCCAAAGGCATACAATACCGAAATGCATTGATTTGCGAAACACAGATCCAACACTGATCTTTTATTGTCTTCTTGGTTTTTGCTGATGCAATTTGGAAATAAATAACCCCCCTTTACGTGCATATAAGAGTGTATGTTCCCCTCTATTCCTCAAAGTTCCAAGCATGCAATTGTGTTGAATATACCAGTGCTAAAACTCTGCAACAGATATACTGGAGTTTGATCGCACTTTGCCATTTCAAGATACTAAAAGCATCATGCAACATTTGTAAAATCAACAGCCAATCCCTCCAAGACGACTAGTACTGCTTAATTTGAGCCCAACAGTACTCTGAACAAAATTCATTTGACTTTCTTCTGAAACTCCCAAACAAACCTCAAAAGAAACATTTACTCCCTACTAAAAGGACAACAAAGAAGAAGACAAACAAAAAGAAGAGAGAAGAGTAGATTACAAGTAAGCTGAAACGAGAAAACGAGGAAGTACAAGTTTATAAGCAAGTAGATTATAGATAGGAGTAGTGGCAAAGTCTAATCAAGCTCCGTCTGAACCTGAATCCCCATGGACTTAGCCGTTCCAATGATAGACTTACAAATAGATTCCAACGGCATATACTGGCAATAGGGGTCATGCTGCTTCACCTTGGCAATATCGTAAACGTGCTTCAGGGTTACGGCGGAGGCTATCACTTGACTACCAAGTCACGGAGGGCGGCTTTATGATGAACTCAAAGGTCCTGTCCTTGAAGGCCATCACGTTGATCTTGTAAAAACCCAGGACTGGGGACACCAGCTTGTCTCCCGGCTTTGCTCCCCTGGCTGGAAGGGTTAAGCGGATGGTTGCTGCCAGTGGCCAATGAGTCAGAATCTCCTTCAACGCCGACATGGCTGGTTTTGGGTGATGGAGTACGGTCGTTTTTTTGTTTTATAAATCATATTTTATCTTTTCTTTTCTTTTACGTACCAGTGATTTCTTATTTTCCAAGTCATGTTGCCTAAAACATCTAGTTATTGTATAT